AAACAAACAAAACCAAATGGTAAGAGTAATAGTTACAACCTCAACGCCAGAAAATGTTCTTGTGTGGACAGAGATAACCCATTGTGTAGCTTTGTGCTTAACAATAAACCAACCACATAATTATAATTTCCTCTAAAAGTGTTTTAATATTTGAAAGTCTGGTCATCTTACTTTTTAACACGTGAGAAACGAGTAAGGTAATAGTGTGCTGGAAATTAATTAATTACGCCCTTTACGCCCTCTGTGTTTCAATGAGGATAAGCAGCTAGTCATCACCACCCACCGCCAACTCTTGAGCTACTCTTTTACCAACAAATAGTGGGATTGACCATCACATTATAATAACCCCTACGGCTGAAAGGGCGAACATGTTTGGTGGGACGGGGATTCGAACCCGCAACCCTCAAATTGTGAGTCGAACGCCCTAACCACCTGGCCATGCCGGGCCTCTTTGATTGCATATGCTTTCCGGTGGCAAAGCAGTAAGTCTGCAAGCTAAAATCGAGTTTCGATCCCTGTAGTGGGCAGAGCACAGATAGTCCATTGTTGTGCAGATTTTTTTGCTAAAGAACAACTAAATTTGACCTCGAGTAAATTATGATAATTAAACTGGAATTTTCAAGTATGCTCGAAATTCTTTAGACATTTGTGGTTAACTTGGTCAAACTCGCAGAAGCATAATAACATTTTCTTTACGACCGATATTTCGAATATAATTTAAATTATGATTTTTTTTTTCAGGCCAGCACAGGATGTAATATCAATCAGGGCTGTAACACTTACTGTGGACCGTATCTCATTTCCTATGCATATTGGATAGAGACAGACCAACCGGGAAGAACTGGAAACAAAAATTTATATGATGGTAAAAGTCGCCATAATGGGTGTGCATAATGACACTGTTATTAATAACATTAGGTAACATAAAAGTAGGCGTTGGAGAATAGGTGAAATTGATGAAAAGTGTCTTGATTATTTGTTTTGGGACTCATTACCCACTTAATGACAATAACATAAAGAATTAATTACCGCCTTACACAGGCCTAAAATAAAGTCACAATATAACATCTCACGATAACCTGGAACTAATGAAGTATAGCCTACTTGCATAATTTGTAAACCATTTTGATATTTATGTCATCCAGTATTGTTCAAAGTCACATAGCTAGAGTAGCCCCCAGTGGCACAGCGGTATGTCTGCGGACTTATAACGCTAGAATCCGGGTTTCGATACCCGTGGTGGGAAGAACACAGATAGCCCATTGTGAAGCTTTGGGCTTAATTACAAACAAACAAAAGCTAGAGTAATCTTTCAAGCATGCAGAATGAATTTCTGTTATATTCCTAGTTTTGAAACTTATGTTTTATATGAGAAGCCAGTCACTTGTGGTGTACTTGGATTACAAAACAGATTGATAAAATACTACTCAAGTTTACAAATAACAAATTTTATTAGTTTAGAAAACTGTACATATACTTAACTAGATATTGTACAGGTATCATTCTGGTATTCAT